ACACAGCAGGAGAAAGCTCTGGCGTGGTTGTTGCTCCGCGATGCTATAATATGTCCTGTCACAGTGGATTTGGTGCAATAAAATACGCAGAACAAGAAACGCTTTTGAATTAACCTGAAATGAGAAGTGTGTGGAGTGCTGCTATGTTTCTGCTTGTTACCCTGCCAAATACAGCTTGTCCAGCTTGAAAAGAGGAAGATATGATCCACTTAGAAAAGAGCCGCTTAGTCCATTGCAGCACCGGGCTGTGAAGCAATCCTGAAAAGCCCCTCCAGGACTGCCAGGATTCAAGGTGGGGTGAGGCATATTTTGCTGGTGGTACTGAAGGTTGCGTGCCTCAAGCCCTCTGGGATGGGAGTCCCGGTGGGATTTCGGTTGCGTGGTGGATGTGCCCCAGCTGCGGGATGCTCACTGGAACAGGATGATGATGAGGGGGGAGATGTGCACCCCACCTGAGCAGTCCTGCTTGGGAGGGTCCCAAGCACTTTGATGTTTGAAAAAGCAGAATTGTGGGCAACTATTTCAGGAGGAAAAACACAGGTGAAGAGAGAAATAAGTGGACAGATTGTCCCAGGGCCAGGACCCAGCACCCTGCGAGGTGGTGCAGGGCCCCGGGGCTCACTCGCCCCACTGAGCCTCCCATGGGCACCGTCGGCCTTTGCTGCCTGGGAGCAGCCCCAGTGCCTCCTGCGACAGCACCTGAAAACAGTCCCTGATGCCGAGGAGGGCAGCAGCCAGGCTATAGGTTGGCTTGAAGTTTTTGAGGGGCTGTAAGCAGCCCAAGAATACCCCACCACCCTCCACCTCCGCATCCTTTCATGCCTGAAAAATAAATCGCTGCATATCCTGCAGCAATGTTTGAGAGCTGCCTGTTTAAAACAAAAATAAAACATTTCCAGGCTCAGCCAGAAACAAGTATTGATGTCTAAGAGGAGCAGGCATCTGATGGAAACACTGACATACATAGCACTTGGAGCTGCGAACCACACAGAAAGTGAATTATTGCTGGGAAGAGCCAATCAGCTACAGAGATTAAGTATCTTATCCTTATAAGTGAATACATACAAAAGCATTTTAGCATTGCCAAGCCAGCTTCTCCTTGTTGTGGAAGGTGCTTCCTGGCTAGTTGCTGCCTTTTTGCTCCTCTGAACGGCTTAAAAATCACTCCTTTCTCTGTAGCATGTTTGCTACACCTAGCAGAGGTGGTGATGCTGCAAGTGGTGATTCCATCAAAAGCGTCTCTTGGTGATTCTTGACTCATTACTGCTTTAGCTAAACTGATAAAATGGTTGAATTTTAGTTGTATCTTGGGAGCCCACAACCTAGATTGCCTCCTTCTCTCTAGGAGCCCATTAAAGCTGCAAACTCATTAATCCCTAGTCTGCTGACAATTGGTGGACTGGGCTCCCATAACCCCTATACGAGTTAACTCCCCAGTAATTTATGCCTGTGCCTGCTGTGGGTTTTGAAAACATGCTGTTACTGTCAGTTAGATCCCAAGTGGGAGTTTCCTGTGGGACAGCCGAGGGGGCCCTTTGCAACCTGACTTGCAATAGAAACGCTTTAGGAAAGTTTTGAAGAACGCGTGGGGGTAGCTGTTTGCCAGCAGCGAGGGTGGTTTTCTTGGGACCCAGCACTGAGATGCGGGAGATGTGTGTTCGTAGCCCCAGTAAGTGTGAAAGCTGCCTCCCCGCAGGGCTGCTTTGCAGTGGGAAGTTTGCCGAGTGCCTCAATCCAAGGTGTGTGTCCAGACGCAAGGCGCGACCATGTCGGGAGAGCTCGGCACCGACTCCCCTGTACTGGTTTCCCTGTGATTTGGCAATGGGAGATGCAGGATGAAGAAGGTGGCCAAAACCTGACCCAGGTCCCCAGAAGGGCTCAGCACATCTATGTTAAAGCCCTTCCAAGTGCAGGCTGCGCATACAGCTCCTGCCACTTTGTTCGTGCGACGTGGTTGGAGATGTAGACTTCTGCAAGTCAGTCTGATGTCTGGGTGCTTGGCCTCAGGAAGGGCAATTTCATGTCTGCTTCGTGTCTCCTTCATGTCTTGGTGGGGGAGGAACTGCCTGTCTTGTTGAGAAGGTGTTGGAAATACAAAGCACTTGCAACTGGAAGGTGGGAAGGAGGTTCTGGGCTCTGGGCACCCAGTGGGAGATGTGAACTCTGTTTCCCTGCTTTAAACTCCAGCTGTTCTCAGCACAGAAATGAAACTGTCTCCAGTTTCGGATTTATCATTGTATTTGAAAGCTATCTGAGGAATAATAATAGTAAAATTTCATTCTCCAAGGTCACAGTTGGGCAAAGTGCTTAAGCACTTAAGTACGCATTTAAGTACTTTGTGGAGGTCTGCACTTTGGGTCCTGTTTATTTTGAGCCATAAGCATGTAAACTGAAATTTGAAAAACTGTTTAAAGAAGTGAGATTAAAACCATAAGTAACATTCTTCTTTTAATTCACCACTCCATCTTTCCAGATATTGCTCCCAGTCAGTAGGTATAAACTCACTAGGACTGAGCTTTGCATTTAGCAGGCATCAGGATATCTGCTGGAGACCGGCTGGGGAGATTGAGGGCAGAGATGCCAAAATAAACTTGTCAGAAACAAGAGGTGATGCTTCTTTCCACAGAAGAAGCTTCAGACCCCAGTCATTCTGCTCTGAGTCGAAAGTGATTTTTCTCTTCATTTAAGCATTCCTTAATTATCTTTTATAAAAATAGTTTGTCACTTTGTCATTAACCCAGGTTCATTATGGCTTTCAAAAAAGAGTGTTTTCCTTTTAAGTGGCTAAACAGTACATTTTGGCTTGTGCTTAGTCTGCGCTTGTTCCTGTTTGGTAGGTTTATGATACAAAAGCCAAAATATACAAGTCTTGATCATTTGGCAAACAGCTTGGGTAAAACTGTGCATTTTGTATGGAGGAATTGTGCGACTGCATGGAGTTTGTTTTCCAGTAGATTAAATTAGCAAGAGTGTCCATCAGAGTCAACAAACAAAGATCAGTACCCAGTCCTGCAAGTGGAAAGCTGCATACAGGGCTTTTTAAATGGAAGCCAAAGCTTGGTACCATTGAAAAAATCCTTATAGTCTAGAAGAAGGAAGAAAAAAGCCTGAAAGGAACACTTAAACCAGAATATTTCTCAGCCGTATTCTCCCCAAGGATATATCCCAGTTGGGAAGAGACCATGGGCGAACACTCAGGGTCGCAACAGGGTCTGATAGGAAGGAGATGCTGGAGCTCTGTCTTCTTTTGCTTTTTACTAATAGCATAGGCTTTTGGGGAAAAATCTACTTATTAAAAGAAAAAACCCAACACCTTTGACTGTATGAGTGCCACAGCCTTCTGGCCAAAACCTAAAATATTCAAGTTGGAGTTGCTGCCAGGGTATCAGAGGAAAGGTTCTTTGTAACCTCAATGAGTGTGGGCTTTGCCTCCTGTGAGACGATACCTCCCATGAAATACCACATTTTCAGGCCCTCGGGATTCTTTATTTGTACCCTGCAAGCCTCTTGACTGAAACATTTTTATATTTTTAATTTTTACATTTCCACAAGAATAAAAACTTGTATGACAAGAAAAGCAATACATTTTTCTCTTATAACATGCTCCATCACTTTCACTTAAAGGCAAAAGAGCAGCTTGAAGCCAATGCCACATCCTGAGGTCTTCAGAGCTGCTGTAATTGCATTGGTTTCACAGTCAAATTGTAGTCTATGAATATGCTTAAGATGCAAAATTAGGATCTCTATCCATATTTGATTACTATCAGAGATCAAGTCAGGCCACCTGGGTTTGGATCATAGGATTAGGTTCAGACTGATCCGTTTTGAATTACTTTTTACTTCCTAATTGTGTCATCATAGCACCAAAGTGTCTTTGTTGTGGAATAGAATCCCCCGTGACATGTATTGTGCAAAACCAAGAAGACTCATGTGCCTGGTGGAGCGTACAGTCTCAGAGCCAGTGTAAGCCAGAAGATACAGGTAGGGCAATGCCAAGTGCAAATGTCGGTTGGCATAGACAAAGTGGGAAGAATGGCAGTCTTGCTGTTGTTCTAGCTGGGCTGAGGGCAGCTGTAGAGGGCTAATTCTTCATTGTTGAACTGGTGTAAAGGATGAGTAAACCATTCAATGTTAAGAGTGAGTTTGTATGGCACTAAAATGAGCCTGAGGACCATCAAATGCAAGAAGCATGCCCCTGTTCCTCCAAGGAGAGACTTCTGAGCTTGAACCTTTCCTTGTGTCGTTACCCTACAGTAAAACAAAATTGTCCAGTCCATGGCAGGGTTCGCTGTTGTCACTCATGGAACAAAACTGCCACAGCTGGTAGACAGACTGAAGAAAGATGGATTTCAGCTTTCGTGCTCAGTCTTTGGTTCTGCACTTCTTTGTTGCGTGGAGTAACTCCATTGAGCTAGAGATGGGTTCACGTATTTTAGCTGTTCCAGCCTGCGTCTTCTGTCCAGCTGCCTTCTTTGTTTCCTTCAGCCCACAGAGATTGCCTTTGGGCCACCCAGAGTCCCTTGAGAAAATGAGTTTATCCCCTTTTCTGCTCATGTATCCCCTCCTTGCTGGATCTTGCAGGGGTTGTGGGCAGACTGGCAGGAATAAAGAAATCAAGATCCAGAGACTGAACTGTGAACTTTTCAGCTCACATACTTATGTCTGCCAGATCACCCCCCCACACACACAGAGTACTGGGTGTTGCAAGGACCCTACCTAGACGTCTGTGCTCTATGTTATGGTGCACCTGATGGGATGGCCTTGTGTTGGTCTCTACAGGGTTGAAACCATCCTCATAGATCAGCCAGAGACCTGACTGTAGTGTGCAGCGCTGTCTTTCTGCATGGCTACCTGCCTGGGGCAGGTGAGCCTTACCTCCGACAAGGAGGAGCTCTGGGCACATGGAAGCTTGAGTAGGACCAATATAAAATACGTTTCTTTTTTGAATGCTTTTTGATTCTTTGACACCTGCTCATTTCCATTTCTTTCTTCCTTTGCAGAATACTTGAGGAGCGAGACCGCCTTTCTGGAAGAGTTGGTGTTTGGAAGTGGAGATACCATTGAACTTTCCTGTAACACGCAAGGCTCTTCTGTGTCTGTTTTCTGGTTTAAAGATGGTATCGGGATTTCACCTACCAACAGAACTCATATTGGACAAAAACTGTTGAAGATAATCAATGTGTCATATGATGACTCAGGGCTGTACAGTTGCAAGCCGAGGCATTCCAACGAGGTCTTGGGAAACTTTACAGTCAGAGTTACAGGTACGTGCAGAAATACAGCTCTGTCAGTGCTTATTTTTAGTCGTTATTTTTTATTTTTGCCCCTCCACATATTCAGCAGAGTAGGTGCTGTGCAGTGTTCGTCTGTACTTGGTGGGTCTCTACCTCCCTGGTAACTCCTGGCAGTGATTAGACTGACAAAACAAACCAATGGAGGAATGCTTGCGTGTCCATACCAAATGTTAAAGCTTGATGCTAATACTGAGAGAGACTTACAAACGGTGCTAGTCAGATTAAACCCCAAATCCCCCTTAACACTCAAATAGATGCAATGGTACATGTGCCTTTGATTCTTTTGTGAGCGAGTGAACTGTGGCTCGGGGAGGTTAAGTGACTTTTTCCACTTTATGTGACAAATCAGTGGCAAAATTGCATGTACAAGCTGGAGGTTCCTGAAAACTGTTTCCCTGTTGTAGGTGATAAATCTCTTCCCTCCATCTCAGTTATCACAAATTAATAGACTGTTTCAGAAGTAGCTTATCCGTAAACTGTGTCTGTCTCAAGTATGTGCTTCATCAAAGGTGCTTACTGGGATTCATGTACTGCAAACAAGTGCTGTGTTAGCAAAGCATGTGCTGTCATTTGCTTGGCTGTATTTTCCATCAGTAGGACAGTAGGACAGAACAGCTACAAGCTGTCCGAGCCTGGATCACTAAACAGAGAGTGCCAGAAAAAAACTATTGCTCCTGGATAGCTAACGGCTAACACTAAGATCATCTCCGTGATTTCAGGCTGCTGCACTGGTAGATGGATATTCATCACTATGAGCAGATGGAAAGCCTCCCGATCACACAGATTAAAAACCTGAATTTTCAGAAGAATTAACCCCTTGTGGACCTCAGGTTTTGAAAACTTTCCTTGCCCTTGCGCTGTTGGAGCTTTTCAAGCATCAGTAGGTCCTTGCCTCCAAAAGTTGAGTTCCCTCAAAAAATAAGGGGCTCTGTCTGAAAACCAAACGCAGAGATGTTTGTGATTGTAAATCACATTCACTCCATAAAGGCCTTTCTCGTGCCAGGAATAGGATTTTGTGTAAGTGAGAGAATCAAACCATCGTGAGAATAAAAGCTCATTTCAGCAAGCCTTCACCAACATCTGCTTTTCATTGAACGTTACTGGAGATTGCTGTGAATGCTTCAAGGTCATATCAATTAAATGGTTAAAGAAGTATTTGGCCCTTGAAAGGCTTTCTTTAACTAGGTACGATTATTGGAACTATCCAAGGAACTGCAGGTTGTTAGAAGCGTTACTTTCTTTTTTTTTAAGTGACATTAAAATGCTTTTGAGTTCAAGGGGCAGCAGGGAGGCAGAAGAGGGCAGCTGGTTACACGCTCAAATGAAACAGCTGCCAGCCCCAGAAGTTCGTAAAGTGAGAAATTGTTTTTAATAGTGGAAGGGCTGATAATCCTCTGCTTTTAAAAAGTTAAAGCCCCCGTGTTTTTCCTCTTTGCTAATAATAGCTAATAACAGCTTAAGAACAAGCGAGTAACCTGAACCTGCTTTCTGACAGCATTATGAGTCTTTGATTCTATTAGCCCACTGTCATTACCACCAAAGTGCTGGTACTGTGGGAGCCTCCGTTTTAGCTGTCAGCAGCGCTTGTTTTAAACTTTGAAGCCCTGCTGCATGTGGCAACAGTGGCGCCTCTCGTATGCTCAAATATTTCTTCATGCTTAGTATTGATTGCTCAGCGTGGCACTGCGGAGATGAGATTGTTATCGGAGTTTTGTGGTTTGTGTTGCCACTTCTTAAAGGTAACACCAGCAATTAGCTCAGGTATCTGGTCGGCTGTTTGTGTGTATCTAGTGTTTGGGGCCAGAGTTGTTCTCTGCGTTGAACTGGTTTAAATCTGTACTAGCAAACTGGAATTGCTCCAGTCTGGACTCTTAAGTGAGCAAAACCAGGCAAAGTGTATTCAAAACAGCCAATATGCATGTAAGTCCCATTTTGAGGGATGCTTTCCAGGTTCTAGCAGCGTATCAGGGTTTTCCTATGTGGGGCCATGAGTTTTGAGTCTGCAACAAATTGGATCTTCTGCAGTGGCTCTCGGTGTGCACGGTGTGGTGCTCAATGCTGAAGGTAGAGCAAGGAGATGCTGGAGCCGCCGTTTCAGGGTTGAAAACTGGGTTGATTAATAGCAGGGTTTGATCTCTTTAAAATGCCTCCCTTGACAGACGTGGGCTTGAGTGTTTTGCTGGTTTACAAAAAGAAACGTACTGTCCTCTTAAAACCTGAGCACTTGATGTGGATCAGAAATAGAGGCTGCACGCCCAAACTGATCTCCAGCCCCGCTGGCAGAAGCTCCGTTTCTGCAACCATTTCATGCACAGAACAGGCTTTGGATTTAGTGGCTGAGCAGCACCCCTGTGACAAGCACAGACTGTAGGATGGTACTGATGAAAAAAGCTTTCAAAATACTCAAGACTAAGCTCTTCAAAACAGGTGACTAAAAAAATTAAGCCCCTGTCCATTCATAATTAAAGCCGTTTTGAGAATAGCATCTGGCAGTTCTTGCTGATGCCAATACTCGTCGACTTCTGAAAAGATTTACTATTTTAGTAAGTGATTAACAAATAGCTTATGGATTTCTAGTCACCTTTTGAAAAAGGTGACGTTTTGGTAACCTGAATAGGACAGTAGTTCTGAACATGGGGTGTTTGGACTTAAAACCTAAGCTGCATCTCTCATCTGAAGCACAAGCAAGATTGAAGATTCTTCCTTTAATCTTGTGGAAATGGTTTTGAATTGGTTTAAAAATTGTTTCTGCTCCTCTGGTCACAATTGATTCATTGGAAACCAGAAGTGAACTATAATCACATGTAGGTTAATAGATGGGTAACCAAATCTGAGAGTGCAGGGCTGAGAATGTGCTGGTTTCTCTGTTGATCCTGGTGGGGATTTGACTCGGTTTCTGCCTTCGTCGGGGCTTGAGTAAACCTGCTGCTTCAGCCGAAACACTTAAACACCCAGTTTGCTTTCAGCAAGCCCCGTGGCATTTCTCTAGTAGTGCTGCCAGCAGGACCTCAGCTGTGGATTTGCCGTTAGATACCTGCTTGAAGTCTTCCACGAGACTTCGCGGAAGAGAGAGCGCAAAGCTCGATGCACCGCTGCAGTCCAAAGCAGGGAGATGGTTCCTCTGTTACTTGTCCCTGCAGATGGTGAATATGTCTGGAAAGTCCTTCCAGATGCTGCAGAAAAGTAATATTTGTCATTACCTTTTCCCTCCCTGTTTTGGGTTTGTTTTTGGTTTGTGGGTTTTTTTTTTTTTTTTACTTTTTCATTTTTACCTCCATACTTGCTGTCACTGAGCTGACCAGAGAGTGGCAGAAAACTCGAGTGCATCTTGAAATGAAGGAGGTTCTGCCTGACTTGATACAAATTTGTGCTTTACATTTCTGGCTACATGTTGAACCCTCATAAAGTTTCCTGTTTTCTAGTGTTCAAGTTCTTTTACCGCTGTCTCAGAATATGAAGGCTGCTGGGTAGTTAGCATTTTGCCTTTATTTGAAAAGGAAATTCTTGGAGATTATATAAAGTCAGTGATGCGAAATCTTCCAGACACTGAATTGTACTAAGTTGTGTAAACTAAATCAAGCACTAAGCTGTTATTTTATCATGGGATTTACATTTACAATAGTCATTTGGTGGGGGGAAGAGGGACTGAGACTGCATTGTGGACAGCTTGGAGAAGGTGAGATGTTAGACCACGTTAAGAGAAACAATCTGGGATGTTTTGGAGAGATACAGATGGAAAATTCCCACCTGTTAATCTGTATTCAGTTACACCCTTGAGGTGCCTCTGTGGGAGGAATATAACCAAAGGGGACTGGTTCACGGAGTAGCCATCAAAACGTCTATCGAGAGAGAGGTTTGATTGCAAGGGGAAGTTCTAAAAGCTTTGGTCTGAGTGCTTTAGCAAGGAGTTAACGGGGGGAGATGTGGTAAGGGTGTATTGAGTTAAAAGAAAAATGCAGGGAAAGTGAATTAGAAACGATGACCTGTCATTTTGAGACTTGGTGAAATAAAAAGTCTTCAGAGTGAATGCTGGGGGGGGGGGCTGGCGAGGGAGGGCTTCAGCTGCAAAAAGAAAAT